TTTTTGTAAAGTTCTCAAGGGATCATTGAACTTTAAAAATTGTCCTCATTAGTCACTAAACTTTAAAAATTGATCATCCATCCATAAATGCATAAATTATACTTGTAAAATTGGAAGGATTTGATAATGTGTCTAAAGATATAGACGACGGGGCACGTCATTGTTAAAAAAATACGTTAAAATCACAAAAATCAAATTTTATATGTAAGTTGTCCACACCCTCTTGTTCAATTTCATAGAGACATAATCTTAAGTTTCGAATCTCCCGAAGTAAATCGTTATTTCCAGCTTCACGTTTCCTTATATTTCGAAGCAGGCCCAAGATGGAATCTCATTTTTTTTTTTTTTACAATGACGTACCACGTCGGTCATACTGTTATACACGTCATTAAATCTTTCCAATTTTGCAAGCATCGTTTACTTAGAGTAGTTTTAAAGTTCAGTAACTCGGTGAGAACTTTAAATAAGTTACTACTTTTGTTCTCGTAGAAGAACTTTCTAAATAAGTTACTTTAAAACCATTTTTACGAGACCTCTATTTTTGCTTTTATTCATTGTAGAATAGCTTTTTGAAAAAGCCAACTTCCTTTAAAAAGTCATTTTAACCAGACAAAGCACTTCTAGAAAAATAACATAAACATGTTCAAAAGTAATTTCTTACTTTCAGAAGTAGTTTTTTACTTTTCAAAAGCTTTGTCAAAGGGTTAATTTCATAAACGGTCACTAAGGTTATGTCAAAATCACAAAACGGTCACTGAAATTTAAAACTTGCACTAACAGTCATTGAAGTATCATCTGGTTTCAGTAATGGTCACTGAAGGACCTTTTACATTTTAATTGGAACTTAATGGACCAAAATAGCTGAAACTTGAACCTTGAGGACCTAAACTACCCCACCCAATTCATCCCCTCCCCTATTGTTTTCTCCAATTCCAGGCAAACACAGACCACCAGCGACAGCCACCAACGAAGCATCTGTGTTCCACCGAGAGCCTAAATCAGATAACCCAACTTCTTAGTCATCTATTGCAGTCTACTCTCTCCATTATTTCCTTTACATCGAGATGGCAGTGTCTTCGATCAAAGCTTGGTACATTAAAATCGGTTCTTTCTGAAATCTCAGATTCCTCGCACTGGGCCGACAACCCTTTACTGGGTACCCTCATCCTCGATCTCCTCTTGACTCTCTCTATTGTGTCGAAATCCTGTGCAATCAGTGTTCTGACCCTTCATTTACTGTCGGGAAATTCCTCATGCAATCGGACCTCGACATGGCCTCTGGTTGGCTTTCGAAGCAAACCAGCGATCTTGAGCTCCTCCTCTCACCCTAATGCCAATGGCTCAAAAGAGGACCTCTGTTTTTTAGTCAAGGACCTCTTTACAAAGCTTCAGATCGGAGGTCTTGAGTTCAAGCGCAAGACATTGGATTCATTAATTCAGCTCTTTTTTTAGGATGAAATTTTTGGGAGTGTTGTTGCTAAAGAATTGAATTTGAACCGCTTGATTCACTTACTCGATCCCATTTATTCGGATTCTGTGAGAGATCTGGCTGTTGTAGCAGTGTCGATGCTTGATCCAGTAATGATGTTTGGGGTTTTATTGTCAAATTTGCGATTTAGACCTCAAGGTTCAAACTTTAGATATTTTGGTCCATTTAGTTCCAATTAAAATGAAAAAGGTTCTTCAGTGACCATTACTAAAATCGGATGATACTTCAATGACCGTTAGTACAAGTTTTAAACTTCAATGACCATTTTGTGATTTTGACGTACTTTCAGTGACCATTTGTGAAATTAACCCCTTTGTCAAATAAACAATTAGGTAAGTTCCTCTAAAAACTCCTTTAATCAGATAAACTTACAAAAAATTATTCAAATATGTTAAAAAATAAATTCTTAGATCTTGTTTGTGAGGGATTAAAATCAGATTAAAATTGAAAATATAGCCGTTTGAGTTGACTTTTATTAGACGAGTGACACCCAATAACGACTATATTTTCAACTTTAATTCGATTTTAATCATTCTCAAACAAGCTCTTAATCTTAGAAGCACCTTTTGACTTTTTAAAAGTCCTATCAAACAAACCCCATACGTTTGTCCAACTTTCGAGACATTTGGTCACACACGAATCACATTGGGCCCCTATTTAGTTTAGGTAAAAATCACTTTCTTAGTATATTGTAATAAAAATTGATGAAACATCTAATTGAAAAATTATGATCCCATAAAATACATGATTAAAATTAATTATTAACTTTAACTTAAAATTTAAATTTTTAGCTAAACCAAGCATGAATGCATGCGTTCATGCTTGCTTGACCAAACTTAGATATGAAATACTTTCATAGTCTAGCATGATTCACAATTGGAATCTATTATACGTCAGCCATGTTGGGTTAGGTCAATCTATTCAAAAATAATTTCTTTTTATCAGTAATCAATTTTTAATCTTCTAATTAATTTGTCTATTTTAAATGTCATAACAAGATATCAAGAGATAAATAGCTCATATAATATCTAGATATATAACTGTAGTTCAACTTTCAAGTATAACATGTTCTATTTCTAAAATATCTATCATATGCATGAATCATCAATGTTGATGTTCAAAATTGCAAAGTGCCTTCGAATCATGATAATTTGTCCTCGACAGAATTCAAATCCTCAACGAGCTTGGTTTGCCCATAATTTGTGGCCAGCGTTGGCGGCGACAAGCTAAGCAATGACGAACATTAGATTTTAATGGAATTGACAAACCAGTTCAAATGATATTTAATAAAAAGATTTTGCCAAAAAAGAATTACTAACCATGAACNTGGATATTGATGTAGTTAGTTTGAGTATTATTTGCTTTGGACTTTCAAATTTTGAATTTGTATTTTAACTGGAATTTAAAAAAAAAAAAAAAAGAGGCAGGGCTTGTCTAAGGCGGGATGGGGGAGTGACGTGACGTGGCGGCCCCCAAACCCGTCTCGTTGTTATCTCTACACTCGACAGCCAGTAGGCCACCTCCCTTGTATTGAGTGACAGCTCGATCTGTGACCTTTACAGATTATGGCTCGATAGATTTATATTATGTTACTTTTCAAAGTAAAGATTCCATAGAAAAGTTTCCAATTAATCAAGTGAAGTTAAACTGTAGAGAATTTGTTAAAGGCCATTTAACGCGGAAAAAAAAAGGTATTTGTACAATTTAATTGATTGTTAAGAAAGAGAAATGGTGCCCACTAATATGCATGCACATGGAGTAATTACTTCAATAATTTATTCTTTTTGGGAATTATTCACTGCAATAATGTGTGAATGCCTGTTTGACGGGTTAATTCATTAAATAGTCACTAAACTTTTCATTAAATGGTCATTAAATTTTTTTGTAAAGTTCTCACGAGATCATTGAACTTTAAAAATTGTCTTCATTAGTCACTGAACTTTGAAAATTGATCATCCATCCATAAATGCATAAATTATACTTGTAAAATTGGAAGGATTTGATAATGTGTCTAAAGATATGGACGACGGGGCACGTCATTGTTAAAAAAATACGTTAAAATCACAAAAATCAAATTTTATATGCAAGTTGTCCACACCCTCGTTCAATTTCATAGACATAATCTTAATTTTCGAATCTCCCGAAGTAAATCGTTATTTCCAGCTTCACGTTTCCTTATATTTCGAAGCAGGCCCAAGATGGAATCTCTTTTTTTTTTTTTACAATGACGTATCACATCGGTCATACCGTTATACACGTCATTAAATCTTCCAATTTTGCAAACTTCGTTTACGTAGTAATAGATGAGATACCAATTTTCAAAGTTCAGTGACTAATGAGAGTAGTTTTGAAGTTCAGTAAATCAATGGGAACTTTAAATAAGTTACTACTTTTGTTCTCGTAGATGAACTTTCTAAATAAGTTACTTTAAAACCAATTTTACGAGACCTCTATCTTTGCTTTTGTTCATTGTAGAATAACTTTCTGAAAAAGCCAACTTCCTTTAAAAAGTCATTTTAACCAGACAAAACACTTCTAGAAAAATAACATAAACATGTTCAAAAGTAATTTCCTCTAAAAACTCATTTCCTTTTGATTTTTTAAAAGTCCTACCAAACAAACCCTAAATATTTGTCCAACTTCCGAGACATTTGGTCACACACGACTCACATTGGGCCCCTATTTAGGTAAAAATCACTTTTTTAGTAGATTATAATAAAAATTAATGAAACATCTAGTTGAAAAATTATGATCCCATAAAATATATGATTAAAATTAATTATTAACTTTTACTTGAATTTTAATTTTTAGCTTAACCAAGCATGCATGCATGCTAGACCAAACTTAGATATGAAATACTGTTGTAGTCTAGCATGATTCACATTTGGAATCTATTATACGTTAGCCATGTTAGGTCAATCGATTCAAAAAGAATATCTTTTTATCAGTAATCAATTTGTAATCTTCTAATTAATGTCTATTTTAAATGTCATAACAAGATATCCATAACAAGATATCAAGAGATAAATAACTCATATGGACGTGTTCGATCATGCTTACAATCTAATTAAAATTGAAAATATAATCATTATTGGATCTCACTCGTCTAATAAAAGTCAACAATAACGACTAATTTTTTAATTTTAATCCGATTTTAATATCTACCGAACACGCCCAATAAAAGTCAACAATAACAGTTAATATCTAGATATATAACTGTAGTTCAACTTTCAAGTATAACATGTTCTAAAATATCTATCATATGCATGAATCATCAATGCTGATGTTCAAAATTGCGAAGTGCCTTCGAATCATGATAACTTGTCCTCGACAGAATTCAAATCATCGACGAGCTTGGTTTGTCCATAATTTGTGGCCAGCGTTGGCGGCGACAAGCTAAGCAATGACGAACATTAGATTTTAATGGAATTGACAAACCAGTTCAAATGATATTTAATAAAAAGATTTTGCCAAAAAAGAATTACTAACCATGAACATATATTTTCCATCTTTATTGTACAGGCACCGAGCCATCTTGCTTCATCTTTATAAGACTGTTCTCTATGTTCCGCAGGACAGGCTTATAGCTGCAAAAATGTCGAACATCAGTTATAAGAAAACTGCCAAAATAGAAAATGTGGAAGCTCCAGAGAGTAAGGCATACATGCGCGCAAGACCATTATATGCTTGTGTAGCTTGTTGGAGGCGGGCTGAGAGCTGCAAGACCTCCGCAGACAGTGCCTCGGCTCTGCTTTGTTCTTTAGCAAGTTGGCCCTGCGTGAGTTACAAATCAAAATGGCAGAAAAACAGTTAAGGTATGATTGCAATGTCAAAAAAAATGATGCCAAAGCAACTTCATAAGATGTATAGAACAGGTAATCTAAATCTAAATCCACCTGAATAGTACCACAGACAATTTAATCAGTCGACATTACAACTCTACGCTTTTCCCACTAAAAATACAGACAAGATATGTGAAAAACGACACTCTCCCAATTCAAGAACTATACGATGTTATCACTTATTATTTTAATAGGACGCTCTCCCTATTCAAAAATAGGTAAGTGATTAAGAAAGAACAGTTTCACTTGACAAACCTTGAGGGCGAAAAAATCAGATGCATACTGGGAGCCCTCTCCTTCCTCCCTGGCTTCCAGAAGTCCCTTCTGGATAATTCTATCATTCAGAATCGGTAAACTTGTTTGTTCTGCACGCAACTTATCTAACATACCACGTAGTTCCTCATTTTGCTTCAGACAATCTTTCACCTGCATAAAACAAATATTATGCAAACTACATAGAAGAAAGAGGCAGTGATCTGGAAAAGACACTTCAAATTTTACAGGATAATTAAAGTTTGGTAACGTAATCTCAACTGGAGGCTAATCATTTAGCTTTTAAGCCACTCCACCAAATTTAGCTAAAAAAAACAAAGACCAACACATTGGCGACAAACGAAACATATGACGAGTACAAAGCTTATTGCTACAAGGTGCAAAGACAGGAAAAGTGACATGCCACCCAGAAAGTATAAAATCTAAAGGCAGTGGCTGCCCTTTCACTCATGATAGAAGAAAATTCAGTTTAAAAGATACCTAATGTTAACAAAGGAAACAGTTTTGAGAGTTCTCATAGAGAGTAATGAACCAAGACAATAAAACATCCCTTCATTAAGAAGCATTTGCAAATTGTAACCAAGTACCTGATTCTCCCAGTGAGCCACTAATCCTATTGAGTCCTGATAAGCATTTGAGAGACTAGAATTCTCCTCAAAAAGCCTCTCTATTTCTGAAGACTGAGAATCAATCTGTAAATGACAACAGAAAAGATGAATTTTGGTTCTTGATGCTACGCGAGGTTAAAGTGGAATAAAGTGGAAAAAATGTACCTCTATCATCAGTTTTTGCCTGCTACTTTCTAATCTCTCAATAGCTACTGCCATGTCATGCAATTGCTTCTCGAGTTTCTCCTTGTCTTCCTGCAACCACACAAATTTATATAAATATGGCAGACGGGGACCGTTGGTGCATTAACACTAAGATAAATGATTGGTACAGGGCCAATAACATTTTCATAAGGGGCAAAAGTAAAATTCAGTTGAACAAAAACAAATTCTGATTTTCAGAAAACCTTTTTCAACATGCAAAATAATTTCTAATAGCTCGCTCTAGAACTAAAACATTATCCATTGGAAGACAATTCTTACCACTGAAAATGTTTTTGCTTTTTCTGTGACTTCCTCTGCATTGCACAAGGAAAATAATGTGTCAGACAGGGAAACAGTTACTAAGGAAACACAGGTGAATTTAAAAGAGAAACGAAAAAAAAAGGGGTTTTCAAAATGCTAGCTTAATATATAATCAAAATTCAACTCGACTAAGCCTTATCCATACATTAAAATTTTGTTGCATGGATAATTTTCTTCACTCCACTTGATTGAAGGTCATCTCCAAGTCAAACCACAAAGTCTCATTTTCCATTTGTTAATTTTAATCCTTTGGTGTTAAGTCAACCACTTTTTCTACATTTATCATCAATAAATAATTCCATCAATTTTACTAACTAGCAAACTTCCTTTAATATGGACAATCTATTTCAAATGGTTCTCTAGCATTTTATTAAGACAACTCGCATGCTTATTTCTTATCATATCTCTTCTTTGTTTTATCACAAATCCATCTTAACATCTTCATCTCAGCTACACTCAATTAAATGCTGTATTTAATTAATAGCCAAAATTGAGTGCCAAGAACCATCTAGGTAGAACATAAGCAGGAAAAGTGACACGACACAATTAGACATGTGGACACAGTATAATGACACAAAATATTGGTGAAACATTATAGAAAATAAAGTTTTATATTCAAATTCACAAACCTGTTTAGTATCTACTAAAATAAAGTCTAGTATTCACATTAAGGGTATGTTTGAGCCACATTATTTTGGAAGAATGTATTTTGAAATAGTAGATTGATGGATGATGTGTGGTTGAAAAAGAGGAAAAGTTATTGATGTGATGAAAAATATTATTTTATTGAAGAATATATGGTTGAAAATGAGTAGAAGAATGAGAAAGAAAATTTCAATGTGGCTCAAACAGGGGCTAAGTTTAAATTTGATGTGTTTAGTAGTCAAGAAATCCTACCCCATAGCAAACAAACAAATGTTCAACTAATAAAAATATTCATTTCAATTTTTCATATTAATTTGACACGTGCTCAATTATATCAACATTTGCAGCACTCTTTCCTGTTCTTCTCTTGTTTCTCTCTCCCGTTGTGCATCCTACCCCACCCTAAATCTCAAAATTAGATTTAAATGTTTTGAAACAAATCTCGAATCATCGCTACATGGTTCACCATGGCTAATAAATATCTAAAAGCAAATTTAAAGCACTTCATTTTAATATTCCTAAGCAAATATGCAAAACCTGAGCTCGTTCTGGACATCACTGCAAGTTTTTCTTCCAGCTCCTGCTTTTGAACAACAAGGGCAGATATCCGCAGGTGCTCCTCTGCTAACTGTTGCTGCTCTTGCTGCCTCATCATTGACTCTTTCTGTAATTTCAACAACCACGTGACTTACAAGACCATATAAATTAGCATGCACTGACACTCAAAATGTTTGAAAATATGACCTCAAACTGAGACTTTAAACTGGCCAGTTCATTTTCCATGGCTTGAATGTGATCAAGTGAATATCCCGTAGCAGTGACACTGCCTAGAGGACCACTCATTGATTGCTGTTGTAACGAATTTACTTCTGCTCTCAATGCAGCCGCATCCTGCTCAGCCTATTGCAAGAGACATAATAAGCACTAAAAGAAAATATGCCAACACTGGTAATCATGAAAACCACAGACTTACTCGGTACTGCTCTTCTTCTGCTTCTTTCAGTCTTTTCTTTAACGTGCGAAGCTGTGCTGACAGATCCTCCTGCTCTAAAATAGGAGTTTATAGGTGAAGAGAAGAAGCATAAACATGCAATTCTACCATGAGAAACTTCAAAAATGTTAAGGTTGCACATACCCGTGCAACAACTGCGGCATCTTTTTCCATCGCAATATCTCTGAGAGCTTTTCTCAGTGATGGGACAGTGTTCTGCTCCTGTCAAATAGAAAGAGAAGAGAACACATTGATTAATATTCACTATAAAACGAAATTACCAAAATGCAAAAATTTACAGTGTTAGTACTCAAAATCAAGGTTCAACTTTTCAATCTTGAAAAGTCATATGTTACCTATCCAAAAGAAAAGAGATATAAATCACTAAATTTCACGTACTTTCACTAGCAGATACTCCTACTAAGAAACAAGTTTCTCCTATGAATAAATCGTTAAACACATCGTTAGTCACCTAACTTGTAGCGTTATTTCACTTTGGTCATCAAACTTTTTTTGCTTCATATAGTCATTGAACCTTTATTTTCATCACAGTTCAGGCACTAAACTGAATTGTTCACTCACAAAAAATATGACGTGGTAACCTTGAGTGGTTGCTCAATTGGTCAGGCCTTGGGTTTACTCCCCAATGATCACCAGTTCGAATCCCCTCGAGCCTCGGGGAGTACCCGGCCGTAAACTTTAGGGCCCCGTGGGATTGGTTGAGGTACGAGCAAGCAGGTCCGGGCATCCACGGTTATCAAAAAAAAAAAATGACGTGGTATGAAAAATCCACTAGTGTATTGTCTTTATAATCCAACTCTGGAAAAATGAATCTTCTTGGACTAGTGCTTTTGAAATATGATTTTCTAAAGCAACATCATATAAAAATATCTAAATTCAAATCTTCTCCTATTCCCTCTAACCACTACCATAGTAACTAACAACAAACAAGTATTTCTGTTAACTTAGAAAACAGAGGCATGAGAAGTGCCTAAATGGAACAAACGTAAAATTCAGTAGCTAATTTTGACCATAAAAGGTTCATTAACTAAAGTAAAACGATGCTATAAATTGGGTGACTGACTCTGTCATTAACCCATTATATGAAAGACAATAGAAGTAAATCCATAAATAATGATTAATCACACTGACACTAACAGATTCTAAGTTCCAAAAAAAAAATCTTCTGCACCTAGAAAAATTTAATCAAGCACGGTCATGCCACATAAACCCTGTATTTTATCTAAACAAATACTACTTTAGGGCTTATCGGTCAACTTAGAATTATAGACCCAAAGCCTTAGATGTGGAACACAGGCTTTCAATGTATTAAATGATTATCTTATTTATCTTATACATGTATAAATCTTCTATCTACCCCTATCTTCCACTGAAATCAGATATAGTAAGTAATTAGTGGCGTGTGCAATTAGTGTTTCATGAAGCATGACCTTTTGCCATTTATCTTGAAGTTTCCTTCAGTGGTGAAAAATCCACTTCTTAGTTGCTCTCTCAGCAGAATTATCAGTGCAAACAACACCTACTTGGATACTGTTACATCAGACCCTTCAGAAGCTAAGCTATGACGGCACTCAAACTAATTGCCAAATCAAAAAGCTACTTTCTTGAGTGCCCTCTTCATCTTTAGCCATTTTAAGTCTATGCTAACTCTTCCTTGACTTACCAAATTAATAAAAATCTCGATGGAAATAATGTAGTGAAGGTGAATGCAAATCGAAATTGAGACACAAATAAGAATAACAACATCGACTTCCTCTTGTATAGCAACCCATATGGTGTGAATAGGCAGAAAACAGGTTACAAAATTATTAAGATATTGCTGTCTTAACCAAATGAAGAGCAGTTACCAGATCATTGAGTCGCTTCTGCAGCATGTCATTCTCAATTTCTTTCGTTTGAAGCTGATCAAATGCAGAAAAGGATTATTAGTACATAGAATACAGCATATATGAAGGCTATATATAATCAGTGATACAACAGCTAAATAGTAAAGAGAGCTGGCTGATAACTATGACAAACTCCATACAACTCTGAATGTACACGTGTATCTAATGATAAGATGATCATACCGTGGAGATCAAGTTCCTATTCGCTTCTTCAAGTTCCGCATTCCTTTGTTGCATGTCTTTTAACTGTGATACTAATCCACTGATATCATTCTACATCATCATAAACAACAGGTTTAAACAGTATTAGGTATGCATGAAATCAACAAAAATATACACATTTAAAAGGGGACAACAATTTCCCTAAATTTCAATTCGTATGGCAGGAAAGACGTTTAAATATCATTAGGTACAAACAAATATTAGACAATGGTCTATGTAGAACATAAAAATAAAGCACCGGTTTTTATATTTATTAATACATTACCATCAATATAATTATAACAAAAAATGAATTATAAAGCTGTGAAAAAGGGTTATTTGTTACCTCCGAGAGTCTATTTCCGCTCTCTGATTTTTTCATTCCCACAACATCTATGCAAAAACCACAAAGGGCATCAATGACATAAAATATTTTTTAAAAAAAAATATCCAAAAAAAAAAAACGAAAATAAAATAGCACCTGGGATTGGAGCTTTGGTGAGATCTGGTCCCGAGGATGCTTTGCTCAATCTTTCTGCTGCTCTCTTTTGTCGAATTTCTTCCAGCTGAAAATATACGTAATCATTCTTATACGAGAAATTAAAAAAAAAATGATACCAAAAATGAAGATCTAGTACAGATCAACAGAGAAAAATTATGAGAGAAATCAATGTACCGTTCGTCGACCCAGTGATGCATGGCGAGAATCCATTATATTCTATAACGGATTTAAGAGACGGAGCGAGAGAGATTTGTTGCCTGAATAGTTCAACGGTCGGCCTCACGTCCTCTCGAGAGAAACACAGCCAAGTTCGAAATTGGGATTCTTTTAATGTACAAGACTCGCAGCAATACGTACAAGGCTACGCAGCAAAAAAAGAAGACTATAATAGGCTGTTTCTAGGTGATTTTATATTAAAGAATACTTTTTATCAAATAAATTTTTATTCCACATTTCGCGTGGCTCACCGAAACTAGCCCCGTTTGGCCACCTTTTTATCTTATTAAAATAAAAAAATGGGAAAATTCATAAATGAACTGTTTAGTTTACACCAGTTCAAAAATCATGTTTATAGTTTGAAAATGCAAAAATCAGGTTTTTTTTTTTTTAATTTCTAATATAATATAATATAATAAACTCACCCCACATGCACCACCCCTACCTCTCCGGGGACTATTTCGGCGATCACTCTTCTCCGGCGACCATTCCGGCTACTGCTCCGATTCTGACGACCATTCCGACGACTATTCCGGCAATCATTCCGTTCACAGATTTATAATTTAATTAGTCACATATTATTTTTCAGTCACAAATAAAAAATTTTATACGTCACAGATTATTTTATGGTCACAGTTCAAAAATTTTATAGGTCATATTTAATTCGTTGGTCACATATTTTAAAATTAGTTAGTCACAGATCAAAATTTATAGGTCACACGGTCACAGATTTCCAAATTAGTTGGTCACAGATTTTTTTACGATCATAGATTATATAATTTTTAGGTCACAGATAAAAAAATGGTTAATTTCA